AATACACGAGTCAATGTCTACAGGCCTGCTCGCGATCGAGCGTTGCAGTCTGATCGGGAAGTTCAAGGTCTGGTGTCTCCAATTCATGTTGATTCCAAAGCTCCTATGGCCACTGTTAGTCTACGAGGTGACGATGACTGCAGTGGAAACCATGGAGAAGAAAATCAACCCAGCCTTGAGAAAGTGGATTGGTGCACCGCCTTGTCTGACCGACGTGGCTCTTTATTGCAAGCAGGCTAAGCTGGTACTCCCGTTCAAATCGATAACCGAAGAGTTTAAAGTTGGCAAAGTAAGACTCGCCATGCTCTTGCGCGAGTCTTCAGACCCAAATGTCATCGCTGTCCAGCCCGCTCTAAAGACTGGCCAGAAGTGGAGAGTCCTCGATGCGATAGAATCTACCCAGAATGCACTAAAATTGAAGGAGATAATGGGATACACTCAAACCGACCGTCAAGGCCTAGGGCACGGGAAGGTCAATTGGTGGTCAAAGGCCTCAGCCAAAGAGCGCCGAGACATGGTAATACAAATGGTGAGGGACAACGAAAACGAGGTTCGGGTTCAGAAAGCAGCCCAGCAGTCGCAGCAGGGCCATTGGGTCAGCCTGGAGAGCGCATTGCCAAGAATACTCACATGGGGTGAGATCTGGCGGATGACCCCGCTGCGACTGAGCTTTATCGTTCGTTCGGCGTACGATGTATTACCGTCCGGTGTTAACATGGTTAAATGGTCTGCGACTAACGATCCGACTTGCCCGTTGTGTAAAGCGAAGCAGACTCTAGAACACATCCTGTCCCCGTGCAGGAAAGCCCTAGGTCAAGGCCGATATACCTGGCGACACAACAAGGTGCTAAAAGAGTTAGCCGTCGTTGTTGACCAGGCTAGAATGAGGGCTAACGCCAGAGCCAGTTCTACCATCGTCCCCATTTGTTTCCTCAAGGCTGGACAGGTTCCAAAAGGTAAGGTCAACCAAAACGCATTCGCCCCATCTGTGCTAGACTCTGCGAGGGACTGGTTACTGGCGGTTGATCTGCCGGGCCATGAAAGGTACCCCGAGTTGATCCGGAAGACCGGCCTGCGACCTGACATAGTTCTCCACTCTGCGCAAAAACGGCAGCTCATCCTGATTGAGTTGGCCGTCCCGTATGAGTCGCGTATGGAAGAGAATCACACGTATAAGCTCGAGAAATACAGTGATTTAGCAGCCGGTCTGATGAGAAACGAGGCGTACGCAGTACGGGTTTTTGCCGTCGAAGTGGAAGCGAGAGGCCTCGTTTCCACTTCGCTCTACAATGTGGTTAAAGAACTAGGATTGCGCGGTAATGAACGGAAACGAACACTTAAAAAACTGGGCGAGGCAGCCGAAAGGGCCTCGAGTTGGCTTTGGGACGCAACGCAACAACGTAGGGGACGGGCCTCGGTGAGCTGGTCCGGGTGTCTAGTGGAAAAGGGTTTCGCCACCTAGTAATAAAGGTCCAACATGTGTCCGGTAAACCAATCGTAAGCTTGTCGCTCGGTCGTCCAGGCATGCTGACTGCTTTAATTCGGCTGCCGCGACGACTTCTTATCTCACAGTACCTTCTGCAAGCCACCAAGTCGTCTTGTCCCTATCCGAAAGAAAACACCATCCGGTAATTTCGTGCAGCAGGGTACCAGCCCTGAGCTTCATGAACTCAGGTGGGCCCACCTCCGAAAGTGTATAGGAATCGTGGGCCGAAACACTTGTCGACGAGGATAATTTCTACTGACGACTGGTAGATCCCTGCTGTACTTGCTCCCTGTGAGTTTATTCCTAAGGGCATCATGAGGGCAGTAGTAGTAACCAGTGTTCTAACCACTAATATTTCAGGTAAACTGAGTTAATACATTTTGGCCCCAAACGAAAAATTTGAAAGTGCGCTAGAGTTTACAATAACCAAGCTATTGTCTTGTTAGGGGTCAGTATTGTTGTTAAGGATGTCAAGATTGTAAGCACGGGGCATCACGGAGCATACTATCAAGGTGACGTCATAATGAGAGTCTACAGATAGCCGCCCCACTTTTGACATGCATCACAGAGGAGCAGGGTTTCGTTATCGTTCTTGTATCAGTGAAAAGGTGAAACCTATAGAAATTTATGAGCGAACTAGCTGTACCCGGCCACGCGTTGCTGTGGCGTAATTTGAGATAGTCTTATATCCCCCCACCCCCCTCCCCCCACAACTAAATCCACCTAGTACCCTCTCCCTCATCAAAGGTTTTTAGAAAAGAAAGACAATGGAAATCGCACTTGTCTAATGAAGTTAATGACGCAGTCAATGTCTGCGCCGAGGTCCAGATAGTCCTCGATTGCCCCCCCCCCCCCCCCCCCCCCATCGAAGGTTGTTTGGAAAAAAAACAGAAAATAGAAATCGTGTTTAATATGGTTATTGTGGCAAATATAGAGATAGTCTTGTTTGCTGTACCACGACCTACTCTATGTATTAGTATTAGAGAAGGCGTTGGCTGCACGTAACTCGCCGGCGAATGGTAAATACGGCGCATGCGCAATTACTAACGTGGCTATAATTAGAAATCACTAAAGTTATAAATATTAGTTGCGTATATTTTAGCATAAATTGTGGTCACCTATCTCTAACAGTGATAGGTTGAATTTCAAACCACGACAGTTCAAAATCCGGTATCACAACAAACATATCCTGAAAATTTCAGCTAAATCGGTTCAGTAGTTTCCGAGTCTATAGGGGGGAAACAAACACACAAACATTGATTTTTATATATATAGAAGATAAGATATATAGATAGATAGTCTGGTTTTCCAACTTTAGAACACGCACCATATAATTGTATTTTATATTAGTGGTCGTTTAAATGGTGTTATTAGCACGGTAACAAAAGTGGTTATTTGGTTATCACATGCTAAAGATGTTTGTATTTTTATAGGAGACGGAAGTAAAGCTACAACTGTACTTGTAAATAACAAAGTAAGTCGTAAAAAATAGAAAAGCGGAGGTAGCGTTAGTAAAATATAAACAAATTAGGTAATGAGAACTTGAAAATCACGTGTAAAGCTCTTTAAGTTCTCTTAAATTTAAGTCATTAGTTGTCACACACTGGGTAAAGCAGTTACTGTGACTTAAAGCTCTCTCAGTTAATAGTTTGCCCCCCCCCCCCTTTCCCCAAATTCACCGACAACTCTTTCCCACATTGAAGTAGTTGGGAGAAAAAAAAAAACACTTGAAAAGCAAATGAACACAGGAAAAAAACACCATAATTAGGAAATGAACGCCATTGTAAACAGCACAGCTTAAAATTCCAACACAGATGAAATAACTAAATCTAAATGAAAATCTATAAAATTTCAGCGTAACCATGCAATCGGAAAGTTTAACAATGCAATCATAAGTATGCGAAATGGTCAAATTTAATTATCAAATGGTTTACCCATTTACTTGTTTTTTTTTTTTTTTTTATATTAAGGCAACATGGCTAGTGCTGTCACCACGACAGAGCAGATGAGGATATTATTTTAGTCCAGGGTAAAAAAAAAATTACTACTGCGGATTCGAACCCAGGTCTACCGCACTTGAACCCAGTGTTCTAACCATTCGACCAAGCAGCCACATAATCAGAACAACGAAAAGAAAACACAACTTAGACATATGTGTCCCTACCACTGTGTCGCGATTAAAACACAATTCAAAACCGCAGGCAATTGTTTTCTCGTAGACAGATACTCCAGATATAATAATGAAATAGAAATCGCACGTGTCTAACACGGTTAATGAAGTTAATGTCGCAGTCACTGTCTGCGCCGACGTCGAGATAGTCCTCGATTGCCCCCCCCCCCCCCCCCCACCCCATCGAAGGTTGTTTGAAAAAAAAAAACAGAAAATAGAAATCGTGTTTAACATGGTTAATGTGGCAAATATAGAGATAGTCTTGTTTGCTGTACCACGACCTACTTTATGTATTAGTATTAGAGAAGGCGTTGGCTGCACGTAACTCGCCGGCGAATGGTAAATACGGCGCATGCGCAATTACTAACGTGGCTATAATTAGAAATCACTAAAGTTATAAATATTAGTTGCGTATATTTTAGCATAAATTGTGGTCACCTATCTCTAACAGTGACAGGTTGAATTTCAAACCACGACAGTTCAAAATCCGGTATCACAACAAACATATCCTGACAATTTCAGCTAAATCGGTTCAGTAGTTTCCGAGTCTATAGGGGGGAAACAAACACACAAACATTGATTTTTATATATATAGATGAAGGACCTCCTGTCAGTGCAGCATGATATCTGTCAACGAATTGAGGCACCAGTAACATTATGCCATCTTTGGAAACACACAGAAACGGATAACTAGTTATACGAAATTGTAAAAGTATTCTTCTTCTTCGTGCGCTGAAGGTCTCTGTCCGTCTCACTGACACATAATTCATTCCGAGTATAGACATCCTTGGGATCATGGCTATAGCTACGGAGTTCGTACTTTGAGCCACACTTTCTGCAGGCATGTGGCCGATCTGCGGCTGGAGACACATCCATAGGGGATAACTGCAATGGCATCAGTTCTTAAACGTTATCTATCGGAGTCACTTAGCCTGAGTCAACCTCACTGACTGAATGACGTTCAACCACACCAGACCATCACACCGAGCTTTAAACACCCCGTGTCACAAAGTGCCACCATTCTGATGAGGATCACATAAGGACGGGTCCCAGAAACCCCGTTCAACCCATAGGTTGGGTTATATTAGACCTGCGACGACAGCCAGGGTTGGTCTTTAAAACGATAAAAAATAATTGCGTCCGACATTGGGACAGATAATCAGTAATAATACAGAGCCTAAGTAAGTGTTCCGTATGCCAGTTAATGACTTCGTCTCTTATTGTTTAGTGCGTGTTAAAGGGAGTTAACGTCACCGGGGGATACATTGACCCTAAAAGCTTGCAGAATTACTCATGCAAAGTATCTGATTTCCATAAATGATGTTTGAAATATTTGTTACACAGGCGCTGAAGAATTCTGCAGAAAACGCCATGAAGAAGTATGGACCGTACAAGGATTTTATTGATTTTAAGGTGAGTTTTGTATAAGTGTTTATATGGTTGTTTCCCTTGTCATAGTTCTTAGACTGACGATGTTTTATTCATGAGTCAAGTCAGGGTTTATGAGCGTACGGCACGCGGGTGAAGCAAGGCCCATTGGAACAATTATAGTGGCACCATGAGTGAATAGAAGTATGAAATACGATCTTAGTAAACATGAATACAAGGATAACGATCTAATGACAATTATTATTTAGGTTTAATAACTGTCTGGTTGTCTGTTTTGTCTGGCTGTGTGTGTGTGTGTGTGTGAGCGCGCGCCTGTGCGTGTACGCGTGCGTATGTATGTATGTATGTATGTATGTATGTATGTATGTATGTATGTATGTATGTATGTATGTATGTATGTATGTATGTATGTATGTATGTATGTGTGTAGGTCGGTCGGTCGGTCGGTCGGTAGGGAGGTAGGTAGGCAGGTACGTACGCACGTATGTGTGTATGTGTGTGTGTCTGTGTGTACGTGCTTGTGTGCGTGTGTTTGTAGACATAGATTCGCACGCATATGTCTCCCCCACCCCTCCCCCCCCCACCCACCTTTTTTCACTTCAACCTGTCCCGAAATGGTATACTATTTTTCTTCAAAATTAAACTCCCATTCCGGCTAGCCTTCAGGTTACTTGGTAATTGTCGAAGGCCATAATATAACCTTACAGTTGAATGGGGTTTCTGGGACGTGCTGCTGGGGGATTCTCATCCAAATAGTGGCATTTTGTGTCATCGGGTGTTAATCGCTCCTTGTGCAGTCCTATGAAACGTTTATTGCTCAATGATTCATTTTTAAAATGCTTCTGCGACCACTGCTTAAAGGACGGTTGGCATGTTATTCTGTGGTTTACGGCTAGGCTGTGATATCTGCCAGTTTTGGCTCAATGCACATGATTCAGCAAGGTCCCGGGTAGTCTTCTTTTACGGCATGCTTGTTAGGGAGCAGTTGGTCTTTTCATTTTCCCATCAAAGATGGGCCTCTGTCGCTCACAAAAGACTACATAGTACAATGTGGTACAATCGTTGGTCCGGATAGAAAGATGCCAACGGTTTGGCGCACTGAATGAATGCATCAAGAATTGATGTGATGGCACTCCGATCAATCCTACAAGTTATCTGTAGTTTTCCTTGGTGGTCAACGATAAGTTGTCTTACTGATCTTGTTAACATGATTAAAAGTTCTTATGTCTCAACCGTGTCCCATCTAAAATATTTCTAGGATGGTTGATTTACTGGATCGATTGGTTGGATTATGGTTTAGTTGCTTGGTTGGTCGCTTGGTTAGTCGGTTGGTCGGTTGGTTTATTTGTCGGTTGGTTTGGTTACTTGTGTGGTTGGTTGCTTACTTGGTTGGTCGGGTGGTTTGTTGATTGGTTGGATTAACATTTCATTGTGTATATGGCTTGGTTACTTGGTTCGACGGTTGGATAGTCGGTTGTTTTGTTGAGCGGTTGGATTAACATCTCATTGTGTGGATGGCTTGGTTACTTGGGTGGTTGGTTCGTTGGTTGGATGGTCGGTTGGTTTGTTTGTCGGTTGGATTAACATCTTATTGTGTGGATGGTTTGGTTGCTTGGGTGGTTGGTTGGTTGCATAGTTCGTTGGCTGAGTTACATATGCACAGTAAAGCAGGATAAAGATTACATTTAAAAATCGGTCTGTCGGCGGAATACAGATTCAGCTTACACAAAGTTTCCTTTATTGCCCTAATTCCGTAGCTTCATCAGCCGCCCACAGAGATCTCAAAATTGTATTTGTGAACCAAACGATGCAATTCAAAAGCGAACGCAGCGCCTTCAGAACGCGAGAAAAAAAACAGCTTGATTCCTTCGTCACCTCGACCTCCTACATTCTCAATACAATATTAATAAACGTTCGTGTGTTTTAATTCTACTAACACGAACACGTTCTTTGTACTAGTTATTGATTTCACCGTCATAGTTTTTAGCTGCTCCATGTTTGTTTTTCTAGTCATTCTCTTTGTAAATTATTCAGTGTCGAGGAAATGCCCGTTTTTTTTAACTTCAGAAAGGTTTAATGTTTATCTCAGTAGGGGTTATAACACCCATGCAGACAGCCATTTGCAACATTAACACCTTCGACAGGCGCGCCGCCACAAAGAAAACATTGGGGTTGGGGAAGGGAGATAAGGGGGACTGAGAAAAAAGTAAGTAAATGTCCCTCTTCCAGGCCATTAGACGTATAGTGAATATATTGCTAGACATCTATTTTTTTTTTTAGATAAATCGGCACTTGGTGGTTGATGTGGTCAGCATTACGCTGGCCGCCTTTATTTCCCAGGACTGCATCTGGTACCCATTCAAGGCTGGGAGTCAAGATCATTTCTGAAAGAAAGCCCGGCTTCATCACGACGCGAACCCACGACTATCGGATCCACATAAGGGTTCAGTCCTCTTATAATTCTAAGTGACTCCGTGCAGAGTGGCAAGCATCCCTTTAGAGGTCACGTGTAGTTAGTGACCTGTGGTTGTTTTCTCCAGGTACATGCCAGCGTATTGGGAATTGAATAGGCAGGTAGGCAGATGTCGAGCTAGATAATGTAAGAGCTCTTTCGGAGCCATTAAACAGTGCGGAGGCCCAGATATGTCATCACTGTGTGAATATGATTATGATGGTGCAGCAAAGAGTTACCATTAAATCTGGCCGACGCTGAGATGAGGACAAAAAGGGTGGGGAGGAGGAGGGAGAGAGAGAGAGAGAGAGAGAGAGAGAGAGAGAGAGAGAGAGAGAGAGAGAGAGAGAGAGACCGCACGGATATACAATGAGGCCTACTCTACTTTTGTACTGAAATTCTCCGCTTGCTGCTGAAAATTAGACCCGAGTGCTTATTGGAATGCTCGGAGAGAAATGTTGTCATTTCTTAAGGTTCTTTAAATAGGGCTGCGTAGTCTCAAGGCATGGTGTCCGCCTCGAGTGCTGGAGGTTCCTGGTTCAATCCCCGATAAGAGCTGGGATTTTTCGCGTGGACTTGTACTTCTAGTAATTCCCCCTGGTCTCTGGGAAGTGAGATCAGACGCCCGTGTGCATTGCTGCACACGTAAAAATCCCTTGAATGTTGGAAATCAAAAAAATTAGCCTAATGGCGCAGCCGGGCAAAATTTTGAGTTAAAAATCTACCTAAAGTATTTCAGGATTCTGGTCGGTGCTTTAGGGCCTGTGCACTGTGCTCAACTTCTTCGGACTCAGATTTGAGTTAGGAAAAGAACGTGCGCCCTGATAGTGGTCCGTTGTTCAAACCTTAAACCTTAAGATTCTATAATAACGGGCTTGAAGAATTGGGGCTCAATTGCAATGTAGTGTTTAGGGGAGACAGAAGATGGAAGGGAGTGCGGAAGTTGTAAAATGTTTTTTTTTTATTTTTTTTTTATTTATCCTGTTGAAACTTTCTCAAATATTAACTTATCTGCATGAAATATTGCATGCTTGCTCACATTACATGTGGTTGTAGTGTACGCTAGAAAAATTTCAATGTCATAATTGTGTTCATTTGTACGTAATTTCACAATTGTAATTTTCCACACACACAAAAGAGGCAAATTGCAGGTAGCATTACATAAAATCTATTAAATGTGTACTATTTTCTAGGAAAAACAAGAGCTATACTCACACCATTTTTGTATGTGCAGTTTAATTTTCAAGGAATTTGGCTGAACCATTTCTCTACAAATATTTCCAGTGTAACATTTATATTTTGATTATTTTACAATTAATTTTTCACTTAAAAAAAGTTATTATCTCACGTGTATACACAGAATTCCAAAGAAGTTTGTTTTATGTATGATAGCCTGATCATATGGTAAATATGTCTGAAAAAGTGAGATTCCTATCTTTAAAACTGAATTTTTTAAAATTATTTTGTTTCTAACTTCACTGATTCCCTGCTAGATATATCTGTATTTTTCCTTCACCTGCGTATGTGACATTTGAAAAAAGAAATTGAAGAGAGAGAAAGAGAGAAAGAGAGAAAGAGAGAGAGAGAGAGAGAGAGAGAGAGAGAGAGAGAGAGAGAGAAAGTGAGTGAGTGAGTGAGTGAGTGAGTGAGTGAGTGAGTGAGTGAGTGAGTGAGTGAGTGAGTGAGTGAGTGAGTGAGTGAGTGAGTGAGTGAGTGAGTGAGTGAATAAATGAGTGAGTGAGTGAGCGAGTGTGTGTGTGTGTGAGTTAGTGTGTGAGTGAGTGTGAGTGAGTGAGTCAGTGAGTGAGTGTGAGTGAGTGAGTGAGTGAGTGAGTGAGTGAGTGAGTGAGTGAGTGAGTGAGTGAGTGAGTGAGTGAGTGAGTGAGTGAGTGAGTGAGTGAGTGAGTGAGTGAGTGAGTGAGTGAGTGAGTGAGTGAGTGAGTGAGTGAGTGAGTGAGTGAGTGAGTGACGTTCGAAACCAAACAGGACCGCACAACGAGCGATTGACCCCTGGTCACTCTGCCAACCATTCGGAAGAGAATGCCCTGGGTGCAAGTTTCAGAATCCCCGTTTAATCGTTAGATTATATTAGTTGGCCATGTGGTTGACTCCATTCCTCTCAGAAACCACTTGTGCTTGTTATTTGAGCGCCGTGTGCGTTTCGTGACTACAATATGGAAAAAATGGGTGGGGGGGGGGATATCAAGGCCACCGCCTCCTTATAAGCATCTGAGGAAAGGCGACCAATTGAGGTTTTACTTCACCCCTTTAATACCAAGAAACGCATGGTGCGTTCGTCAGTTTCAACTGTCATTACTCACTTTTTTTTAACTTGAGACCCGCCCATTTGCTAAACTCATCCGCTGTTCCCTAATTCCTACGCTCTCTCGTAGTGTCCAGCAATGCTTTAATTCAACTTTTTAGGCCAAGAGAGAACTAACTAAAAAAAGTGAATTAAATAGGACGCACTTGCTTTACCGACAGGCATGGATATCGTAGCTTAGCTATAAACAACAACACAACGAAGTGCGATGATTCTCTTTTATCTTCTACTGGCTCGCCTCATCGCACG